TAGCAGGGATGATGGATTATGTGAGAAATAGATATGCTAAAAAAAAATTATTTAAGTAAATAGGGCTCGTGTTTTATGTGAAGAAAAGCAACGCACGTGTGGTTTTAGTGTGTTTTTGGTCAGCACGTGGCCTTTCGTGAGCTGCCAAGTTGTAGCAAAAACAATGCAAGTCCACTAATTGCTTGTGTAAGCGGAAAAAATTAAATAAAAAACAAAAACGGAGATCGTTTTTTATTGGATAAATTACAAAAGAACCCCTAATGGGGTCATTTTCAAGTTCATGCATATTTTTAGGGACATTATAATGACATACTCAAATTCGCGAAAAACTTACAGATTACTTTTATCATTGCCCAAACCGTTAATAAATATGTTAAATGCTGATGTGGAGGACGTGGCCCTCACTTTTTTAAGTTTGGGGTGTCGTTTGTAGTTTGTACCTTTTTATTTTTTGCTAGAAAATAAAATAAAACTTTGAAGTGGATGCACAAAAGCAAGTTTGCTTCATCATCCACACCTTTATCATTTTTCCCGTGCAATACTTTTTCAAGCTTTGATTTTTCAGATTAACTTGGTCATTGAGATTTATTAGTCTCATTATTATATCTAGAATGTGTTGTGAGTTAGCAGTCAAACAAATACTTTAGTTTATTCTTGTTGGCTGTTGGGTTTGTTGAATTATGTAGGAGGTCACGTGCAATGCTGTCTACAGTAGTTGGTTACTAGAGAGCATCACTTGAGGTCTCGTGTTTTTCCATCCGCTACATCATTTTCATTTAGGTCGGAATAGAAAATGATACTAAAATACAAGGTAGGGATTACCGACATCCACTGTTTCCCCTTCGCATCAATGAAAATGTCGTTGCCATTATCATGAATTACCTTGATATCAACACTTGAATTAACCTCTAACTTTGGACACACATGTAATCTCCGAAGTGAGTTCGATTTAATCCATGAAATATGCAACCGAGCCACTCTCCTAAAGTAAAATTGTCATCATAATTCCAATCTTTAGAGTTTCAATTCCCTATTATCTACCTTTAATATGGCTCTAATTGACTGAAATTCGACTAAATTCAGGCGAGTTGAGCTGATTTGAGTAAAGGTGGCCTCCACTCTATCACCTTTAATAAAAAAAATCTGGGATTTAGGAAGTAGCCCCTCCACGGAAATAGAGACGGAGACGGAAATTCCTCAAAAATTCTTATAAAAGATGGTAGTAGGGACTGAAGTGAGAATAGGAATGATATTGGCATACCCGGCCCCGTCACAAAACCAGCCTGCCATGCCTATGTTCAAGTCAGGACCTCCCTACTTGCCTAGCAAATGGTAGGCAACAACAATAGAAAGCTGAGACCCACCTCGGACCCACTACACTACCATCAAAGCTTTTACCAGTTTAGGCTTTTGAAGTCTACATGAATGTTCCAGTTCTCCTTCCCACGGCTCTCGTCTTGACATACTAAGAAATAGAAAGTTGCTGGAACTTTCACTGCCACGTGGCAGCGTACATTTCACCCAATATGAGAGAGGATGATTTGAGCACATGAGTCACATTCCACCTTGCACCGAAAAAAAAACGAAACGTGTCAATCCCTGCTGCACTGGTGGCTGGTTTGCCTCTTCTTCGACAAAAGAAAAATATCATTATACTGAAAAAGCCGGTTTAGACAGCCACGTGTCACCTCTTGTGCTGTCCGCTACATCTTCCACCCACACGCTACTCGCTCAGCCTTCTACTTCTTCTTTTTTTTTCTTTTTTCTTTTTTGGTTCTCTTTTTTTCAAAGATGTTTTTAGGGTTTGCGGAACTACTGAAAAATCGAAAGTAGTTCTTTTTGGACAGAAGAATTGAAAAGAAAAAAAAGTTAGGCCTGGGTTTAAAACGTGGTTGGAATTAATTAGCTAAAAGAAACTCTGGTTAACAAATTATGTAAGCTCCAATATAAAAGGAGGTGCACCAATGCCACATGTACACATCATCAAACACATATATATTAAATTATGTTTTTTTTTCTTCATTAGAACGAATAGTTTATGTTATGTTTTAACTTGACGGTATGAGTTACAAGTTTTTTCATTTATAATCCAAAATCGATAGTATATGTTATGTTTTAACTTGATAGTTTATATCAGTTTTCGTTTTAGTTTTTGTCGATTCAGTGAAAATTATTGAAACTTATAGAAGAGTTGGGCACAAGTTGAGTCTACATTGATCGTTTCAACTTCGTGAAGTTCAACCTTAATAACAACTCAACCCGTCCACACCTGAATGGTGTGATATTGTGCATTAGAAAGACAAAATTATATCATAAACATAGGAGAGGACAAAAGAGATTTAAGAAGACCAACGATTGAAAGGAAAAAAAAAACGGCAGAATGCAGACTAAGGTTAGGGTACTCAGGCTACGCTACACGTGGTGCACATAGTTTTTTCCTTTCTATCCATAAGCAGAGAGACACGTTTTATGGTCATTGATTATCAAATACCTGTACATCTACTATGTATACGGACTGGAGCAATATTACCTTAATTTATGCCGGAGTTGTATTTTGGTCCTTAGAGTCTTGGACTCGATAATTGGCTCCTGTAAAACATCAATTTTACGTCGTCACGTACCATTGGTCCTGTTATAATATTTGTTACATTTTTTGTCTAATTTAAAGGCAAAATGATCATTTCATTTTGTTTCATGGATTTTTGTACGGTTTAGGAGGCCTTTTATTTTATACAAACAATAATGACCATTAGGGAAAAAGCTTATTGTAAAATTTTACTTACTTTATTTTTTAATTCGTTAACCAAAACAATATGGGGTAGGTATCTAAACAGATATGCTTTCTTTTTGCTGGTCAAATGACCAGTATGTCCTTCTTCTTGCCCCCAAAAAAAATATAAAAAAAGAAAAACCAATAGGTCTCCAAGCAGGTGAAATATTTACTTTTTTGTACTAGTCTAGGATGTAATAATTTTTTAGTCTGAGAAACACGTGAGAAATATCCAAGGTGAGTCAAAGAAAATTTAGAGCAACTTTATTGATTGCATGTATATGGGGATACATGCTAAATTTAGATCCAAATTCATCGGAAAATGTTTCAATGGATGCATGTAAAAGAGATGGAAAGATGCATAATCACCGGAAGTTGCAAAAAAAAAATAAAAAAATTGCACAATTGCATCTGATTTTACGGACCGCTTAGTGGTGCAAAAGGAGAAAGGAGAGATAAGTTAATAAAAGATGGGCAATTGTAGCACTGCTTAGTGGTTACATATCCTTCTATTGGAGGAAAAATCACATTTACATCCCCCGAATATGTAAATGTGACTTTACATCTCTAAATTTACACACAACAATTAAAGTTGCTCTTAGTACCAATGTGTTTCTCCATTTACAATAGTCAAACAAGATCCAAGGTTATTATTTGCTAATTCTACCTTCTCTTTTCTCTTTCATATTGTTTTTTTTTAAAATTAATCAAACTGAAAATTACTTTAGTATTTAATGGATGATGTATGATATTCGTGTATTTCTTTGATTACAGTAGATTATGAAACAATTTTGACTAGGTTTTCTGTTCATTAATATGATTTTTAATGGATGACTCATATAATGAATAGTTTCCCATTATGAGGCCAACATTCTGAAATGTGAAAGTAATCGAGAGGAGAAGATGACTAGTAGAGTACATTCGTGTTCTTTTTTTTTAATACATATAAGCGACTAGTACAAAGTTAAATGCTATTAAATACTTGAATTACAAGCATTTTGAAAATATATACATTTTCTTGAATCACCATAATTACACGATCACATCAATGTCGCTTCCGTAAATTTCGAAAATCTAAAATTCAAGTGTTCTTGATTGACAAAATATCACCTAGCATACCAAAATGACACGAGATGGGCAAGTTGGCATTCGTCCTTGGACATCAACCAACAAAGGTGGAGTTTTGATCAATTACACAATGTTCATGTTTTATGGTATAAACACATTGACAACTATCCACAATAATTCACTCCAACTATAAGCTGAAAAGATATTCACAAAAGCATTTCCTGTCTTTGTTACGGGCCCCACCATGATTGCCCATAAGAGACCCATCAAGCCAACATCACCGTGCACGCTCGATCCAACGGCCAGATTTCACTGCACGGATGGGCCCACAAGTTCCGTAAGCCAATTGCTAAAGGAACCGCCTTTCTGAATTTTCAGACCAAAATATTAAAATATATATATATATGATAAAAACGGAGGGCGGCTGAGGCCTCTTTATGATTCCGAGGATCAAGACCGCCATAGCTTTCCCACCCCCAATCCGCGTCGTACACGTGTTCAGTCTGTGACAGAAAGCCCCGTCATCATAACCCACCCCACACGAGGCGGCCGGCGTGGGGCCCACTTGGCTTTGGTATTCCTTTTTACAAGCGCCGGTCAAAACTTCTAAAAGCGGAAATAATAAAAACACTGCTAAAAAAAATACAAATTATAAAATCTATTATTTCACTTTCCATATATAACATCCCCTACCTTCAAAGGAGTACATTGACTTTTCCTACCTCCCTAAACCCTCTCTAAATAAAAACCCACTATTTACATCTTCATCCAAAACTTATGTATAATCACAAACCCTAACAACCATCCTATATTTTCCAGACTAGTAAAACTGTAAAACAGTAAAAAAAGACTTATTTTTTCCCTTCTTTTTGCGTCTTGGTCCTCTGACTGTCCACCGTCCAGTTTCCCAGTCCTTCACCTTTGCTTTTGTCTTATTGTCCAACTTTCCCAACATTTGCACTTCTTTTTCCTATATTGGCTCGGCTTCTATGTACAATACTAGAAAGCTAAGTGGGGTAGTTTTTTGTTTTTTTTTGTTTTTTTTTTGGGCTCCAAACAAGGCCTTTTGGTGAAAAAGCTCTGGTAATTGGAGGGGCATTGTGAAAACTACTTTGTATAGGTGGGGCATTAGGGTAATAAACTACAAATACAGGGCTCAATCTTAATATTCTATAATTAGTCCTCCCATGGGTGCTCTGTGGGGAATGCCCTTCCTCCTCTTGGCCGTTCTGTAATTAGCAGAAGTTGGGGGTGGTGTTGAGGGTGTGAAGCTCTGGACCCTGTTGCTGCTTTTGGACCTTCCATGGCTGCTGCTGCTGTATGAGTCCTCTGAATCAGAAGACCCCATTGCCTTTGAATGCTTCATCTTCTGGGGATTGTTAGATGTCCCCACAATCTGAGATTGATCATTGCAAAGAATTATTAGTACTTATTGTAGCAAATTAAACATAACAGAAGGAATCAAGAACCAAATTGGATTTCCATGGCTGATTTTAAAAATGTAGGGCTGACCCAATGACCCAGATTCCCAATTCAGCTTGTTCACACTTATGGATTGTTTGGTTGGTAAGAAAATGGTAAGGATTTCAAAGTGTGACATCAACTCTCTATGATTGTAGTCTATAGACTACAAGGGCAATGGAAAAGTCAAACTCAGACTAACCAACCAAATGAATGACATTTACTAAGAGCTGATTGGGTTTGATTGCTTGGAGACAAAAACAAGGGGCAAGAGGACTCTTTCCCTCTGAAATTTACTCTGGTTTTCAGAGCAACCAAACAGTGCAAAAGGAAAACAAAATCAGGGATTGGGACATTTGTATTATTTACCTTGCAACCAAGAGAGCAGAATCTGAAGGAATCTAGGAGGCTGCGTTCACAGACTTCACAGGTATTTGTGACTCCTTTGCCAGGCCTAGGCTGAGGCCTCTCATTCAGAAAAACAACTTTTGCACTGTTGATAATGTACGTTTGGACTCCATTGATGTCCAGATGCTTCTGAATCTCATTGACCCTAATCACATCATGGTATGAGGACCTCCTTATCTGTCATTCAAATCAACAAATTGAGCAAAACCCATTAGAAATCTATGATTTATAGCTGTAATGAAGCAAAAACTGAGCAAGCCCATGTGAAATTCATGACCCAAAATTGGGATTCAGACAATATGTGTGACAAAATTTGTACCCAAAACAAACAGTTCATCATCAAAACAAAATTTTCCCTTCGGTTTAATTTCTGGTCCCAAAGCAAAAATTGGGGAAGTGAGATTTTTATCAGAAAAAGGCAAAAAAGGAGGAACTTTAATGAGAATGATTGAGAGAACAAGAACCCCAATGTGACCCAGATGTCCAATTTGGTAAGCACAAGAATCTAAGAATTGATGGACTCTGTTTAGCTGTTGAAAATTACCTGAATAGCACGGTGGTCTTTGTGGTAGGAGAGGCAGAGAGAGCAGAGAGGACCGTTCATGCAATCCAAGCAGTACATGTTGCATTCACTCTTGTGAGAATCGGCATGTTGCTTGCATTGAACAAAGAAGCTCTCTTTCAGCAGAGGCTTCAGCCATGGCGGCCACCTGTTGTCCTCCTCATCAGGACCTCCAGCACCCTATTCAGAAGTCAATCAAGTATCAGTGTTAGAACAATGAAAATGAAGAAACCCAGAAAGATAACCACGAGAATCGAAGAGAAAACACAGTGAAAATCTAGAGAATTCAAAATTTGAACCAAGCAAAACAGAGCATTGAACCCAAAATTTGAATGCAAAGAGAAACAAGAGCCAGGAAATCAAATCAACAATGAGAACAAGCAAGACTGGTTTTTACCATGATTCTCCTGCTCTTGGGCTTGATTTCCCTAACAGTGGTGTCCTGATTTTCGATCGCCAGCTTGAATGAACAAGAGAAAACACTCTTCTGGTCAATGTTGAGAAACGAAAACAGAGAGGAACAGAGAGAGAAGTAGAGAGAGAAAGGGAACTGTAATGAGAAAAGAGGAAGCTTTTAGAGAGAGAAAGAGAAGGGCTTTTTAGGTTAATAGAAGCAAGAGTGGAGGCGGTGAGGGAGGGAATGGGTTCTTGTATAGAGTGGTAGATGGCGTTAGAGAGAGAGAGAGGAGAGAGAGAGGGATGGGTCGTTCTTATCCTCACAAAGTCTTCACCGAACCTAAACCCGAAGCTGAGAGAGATGCGTTGGGTGCAAGGAACCCACCTCCTTCTTTCCTTTTTATTTCCCTTTCATTTTCTTGCCCTCTTTGGTCTTATCATTTCTCATATTCTAATATTTCTTCTTTTTTTCTTTTTTTCTTTTTTGAATTTTCTTCTTCCACTCTATTATTTAAAGCTTTTATTGTCGTTTCATTATTTGTGATTTTGTTTTGGGGGCATACTTATTCTTTTTCTTTTTTTTTGTTGCTTTAATTATTTTTATTTATTTATGTGACACGAACATTGTATTGTTTTTTTTTTTTTTTTTTTTTTTTTTTTTTTTTTTTTTTAAAAATATATTTTTTTGTATTTTTTTGTCTCTATACTCTCTTGTCCTAATCAAACTTTTGTCCTAATTCCTAATCTCACTTATTCTGTCTTCTAATTTTCTATGTGTTTAATTAGTTAATCAAAATATCCCCACCCCACTATGACACAATTCAATTTGAGAGGCCTTTACCATGCTTTTACATCAACTAATTAACAATCAAAATAACCACCCATTTATCATCAACTTCTCGTGGTCACTTGCTAATCACATAATTGCATTGTTTCTTTAGTATAAGCGATAATCTAAATTACAGAGAAGGGAGTTTCTCTCTCTCTCTCTCTCTCTCTCTCTCTCTCTCTCTCTCTCTCTCTCTCTCTCTCTCTCTCACACACACACACACACACACACACACACACACAAAATCAAAGTGTCATGGGAGTTCGAATCTGAGACCGCTAGTTCGCAAGTCAATACCCTTTTTTATTGAGTTATACCTCGTTGATCATAACTACATTGTTAAAATATTACGATTTATGCATTCTTAATAATTTATCTTTTATCACTAACAGGAAATAGCCCAATGGAAAATAGCATTGACTTAATTATCAGTGCTTTTAAATTTGAACCCTATAATACCTTGACAATGTGTGTGAGAAAACCCCTGTTTTGTTCCTAACTTTGGCAAAATAGATTCTCTTTTATAAACTTCTATGTGTCAAGTTCAAATTGAGGTGGACGTGAGATATTCTTATGCTTAGCAAAATATTTTGTGCGATTTTCTTAGTATGGAATGGGTGAATCGTCCACTTTGATGTTGCAAGTGAAAAAAAATAATTATTATCTTTGTCAATTCTGACCATTTGTAAGACTATGAACTTAACGATCGATATCCTTTATAAGTTTTCTTTCACCCAACAAAACGTAATTAAACTGCAAGTTTTTTGAAAAAAATTTAGCTGAACAATATGTTCCCAAAGTGTGAAGCAATTAATAACTACCCAAAGATAAATAATAATAAAAACCATTTAAAAACAAAATAAGACATTTTTCATAATAAAAATTTACATAGTTTAGTTTCCAATCAAATTCTTGTAGTTAAGTTTCCTTTATAATCAAAGAAAAACTGAAAAATCAGTCAATTTGTTAAAGAAAAATTGTCAAGTGCGACGTACGTGGAGATGTCATTTTTGAAACTCAAAATACAAAAGGATCATTTACGCTTATAAATTGACAATTTTTTTTTTCTATTTTGGTCCTCCAAGTAACTTTTTCATTCTACTAGTCCTCCAACTCTTTCACATGTGTCAAATTGGTCCCACGGTCAAATTATTTGTTAATTTGAGTAGTAAAACTATCAATTGAGGCACTAATTACCTCTTAAAACTTACTAAAACTACCCAATTTAACACAAAAGAGACAGTTGCAGGACCTCTAGAGTGAACAAATTCATTAGAAGACCAATATGAAACTCGAGCATAAATTCAAAGACTTTTTTGTTTTTTTTTAATTTGTCATTGATAATGAAATCGACATATAAGAACCTGATTGAAAACATCAAACCACCAGGACTTGATTAAAAACACTCGAACTGTATAGATCAAATTCGTCATTTTCACAAAAGTATCTTAGCAAGAAAAATTTCCAGCCCCTAATGTCCTATGCTTTATTTAGATTGGGGGGGAGACAAGTTTATGTCAAGGCTGCCTAATCATGTTGGTTTGGTTTCGGTTGGCCATCGCCAAAATGAAAACCATATCTATAATAATATGAGGAAATATCATCAAGCATTAATTATCCTCTGTTCACAGAAAGCGAAAGGATGCGAAAATATTTTTGCCACTATTTTAATTTCTTTTTTAACATTCAAGTTATATATCAAAATTTGATTTCATAAAAATGTAATTTGTTTTCAACCAATAAAACCATAAGGGTGTTCGTATAATTTTTGAGACATTAAGGAGTTTTATGAAAACGCAAGAAATCTCAAAGAGTATTAGTGAATTCTCAAACGTTGGAGGTGTCCGGTCTAAATACATATCGTTTTCCATCACTGGGTCAATAATTTAAGCCTCACCAATGAGAAAATATTGTTTCTCAAATTTTTATACTCAAATTAAACAGAAGTCTCAGTATATCACCAACCAAAAAATGAAAAAAACAAAAAAGTCACCAATCAAAGTTTGACCAAGCCTCTTTTTTTTTACTTTTAATATATATATATTTTAAAATTTAAATTATTGGATCCATTGATAACTTGTGCATATAGTCTACTTATAATTGTTAATCATAATTAGTTATATTCATTATCCAATAAAAAAGAGTTTTAGATTTCTTATTTACCTAAATTATTGAAATAACAAAGTTTTATTTTATAGTAATACTGAAATGATCAAAAGGTTCTTTGATGAAGAAGAAGAATATCTCATTTAAATCATGCTTACTGAGAAAACTATTGAATCCATTTGACACATGGCACAATGATTTCCCATCATCAACCGTTACTTTCTAACAGCACAAAACAATGTTCTCAAGGAGATTATTGATTAGATTGAAGAGCACACGTACTCTTCTGTGCTCCTCTGATATGGTAATAAATTGCAAAAATTAGCATTCTTTGGTGTACTTATGTTTTTAATCATGAATTATAAAGTAATGGAGCCGATGGGGGCTGAGCTCAGTGGTAGAATTGTTGGCATGCAAACTAGTGGTTTGCGGTTTGATTCTCCATGACATTGTGTTGATATGCAGATTAGTGGTTTGCTGTTCGATTCTCCATGATACCGTGTGGGTGTGTGATAATACCCCTCCCTCTTTGCTAACTGTGGCCAAAAAAATATATTATATAAAGTAATGGCTTGTGTGCTTATATGGACAGCCGCCACCACAACACTGAACAGATCATGCATGCTCACAAAACCATCCATTTAATTATTGATTTCTATTCTTAGTGGGTCTTTTAACATTAATTTCTTGGTTAAATAAGAAATTACAGTCCAAATATGGAAAAACCTTGCACACCATACCTACCAACACCACCCTTCTTTCATTTTCTTAAAAGCTTGACTTGACCAATGCTAGAAGAAAATACTTCTACTTTAGCTCAAGTATGCTCAACTAGCTTTTGCAGCCTTCCCTCTTAATTCTTGCTCAATGTGGGATTTGATGCAGACTTGTGAACTTAATTTAGTACAAAAAGTAGGTGCTTTTGCTAATTGGGTTACTTAGCTAGTAGGTTTTTCCTTTTAGGTTTGGTTTTTAAAATGGTGTTTTGTAAATGTTTTTTGGCAATTTTTATTATTGGGAGATGAGGAAATCAAACTTATGACCTTGGATATATAGGTAAATACTCTTAACCAATTGAGCTACAAGCCCCTTGCATGTTTTTTATAGTATTAAAAACACTTCCAAATGACCAATCCAAGATTATTATTATCATTTCGGCCTTTGACTCAGGGTTCAAATGTTTTTATTTTTTAGTAATCGAGAAATCAGCCGTAATTCATTCTTGAGAAAAGAAAATTAGTCTTGGCGCTTTTTGAAAAAAGAGAAGAAAAAGTTTTTGCGTGTGATTTTTACTTAGAGCATCCATAATGGGCTCCCTAAACCACCTCCATAGACAAATTTTAGGGATGAATCATAAAAATACAACTCTAACCATGCCCCCTATCTACTTCCTAAACTAGGGAGTCCTCTAGGAGCTCTTAAATCTAAGGAGAGAGAAATGACTCCTAGTGACTCTCTATAATTTAATACTGCTTTATTTAATGAGTATTTCAAACCTTTATTTAATGCTAACTATTTTTATTTTATATTTTAATAGAGATGGACCAATCAAAAAATAGTTATAGCATTTATGACTCTCCAAATTATGGAGTATGGTTGGAGTTGAAATTTTTCAGAGAGCTCCTAAAGTAGCTTTCTTAAATTTTTAGCTAAATTTTAGCTAAGAAATGGAGAGCATCATCGTGGATGCTCTTACTCCTTACAAAACCCTATTAACAAAAGTGCTTCATGCATTAACATTTCAAACAAGTTACTTGGTTAATTGACTAACGCATCCAACGGGGACTTTGGTGTGTTGTGGGTTAAGACATTGTAATCGTGTGAGATATTTATTCATAAATGGGGAATAATCTGGTGCTTCAGGCTTTGGAGAAATCAATTCTAAAAACTTCTGACAAGGCTCATGAGCAGAACACGTGGGTGGTCCAGAGTAACAACACCCTGCCTAGATGCCTCATGTATCCAAATAACAAAACATATGGACGTACAACTTCAACCAAGGTATTAAAAAAAAAGGAGTAAATCTGACTTCAAACATAATTAGCATAAACTACGGGATAATTAAACTA